TGGCCTGGTCCTGGCAGGGATCAGGGGTCCCTGGCCTGGCTCCATCAGGGATCAGGGGTCCCTGGTCTGGCTCCATCAGGGATCAGGGGTCCCTGGCCTGGCTCCATCAGGGATCAGGGGTCCATGGCCTGGTCCTGGCAGGGATCAGGGGTCCCTGGCCTGGCTCCATCAGGGATCAGGGGTCCCTGGTCTGGTCCTGGCAGGGACGTGGAGCCGCAGCTGAGCCACCCTGAGCAGCGCAGGGGCTGGACCCTGGAGAGGAGGTCCCTGCTCCCCTCGGAGCTCCAGGAACTCCAGCTTGGGACTGGGGGGAGATGGGCTGGAGGTCAGGAGTGCCCAGAGCAGAGGGAACAAAGGGATGGAGGAATTAGCAGGGACAGGTGAGGATGGAGCTCCCTGGGGCCTTGTCCAGGCGTGAAAGGTGAAGGCAGAGTAAAAACCATAAAAATAATCAGCTCCACAGGGGCCACTTCAGCCCCCTGGGAAGAGCCTTCCGTGGGCTCAGACCCATCTTGGGTGACCCCAGGGACACCACCCTGGGCAGAAACTTGGGAAGAATAAAGAGATCAACCCTTGTCCCACATCAGCCATCAGGGCTGGGTCCTCCAGCACGGGCAGGGCCATCCTGGAGCCCCCCAGAGTCCTGGGGGCACCCTCAGCATCGGCTCCGAGGGGAGGCAGATGTGGGATGTTTGTGCTCCGACCACTGCCAGGTTGTTGCCTGTAATTCCCTGTTTTTCCATTTTTTCCCTGTTTTCCCCTGTTGCTCCCCATTATTCCCTCTTTTTCTCTGTTGTTCCTTGTTTTCCCTTGTTGTTCCCTGTTGCTCCCTGTTATTTCCTGTTGTTCCCCATTTCCCCCTGATATTTATTCCCTGTTATTCCCCATTTTTCCCCTGTTAGTTATTCCCCATTCTCCCGTTAGTTATTCCCAGTTTTTTCCCATTTCCCCCCATTATTCCCTATTTTCCCCTGTTATTCCCCATTTTTTCCTGTTAGTTATTCCCTGTTATTCCTATTTTCCCCTGTTAGTTATTCCTTGTAATTCCCTGGTTTTCCCTGTTAGTTATTCCCTGTAATTCCCTGTTAGTTATTCCCTGTTATTCCCCATTTTTCCCTGTAATTCCCTGGTTTT